AAAAAAAGGCCATCTAAACCTCTAGGGATAAAAAGCAGTACCTAAAATGGAAACAATGCACCGGGAGGGATTAACAGCAGATTAGAAAATGCAGAAGAAAAAAGTCAGTGAACTTGAGGACACACAGAAAAGACTATACAAAATGAAACACAGAAAAATGAGTAAAACAAACAGGGCATCATTTCACTGAGACAACTTCAAGTGACATAATACATACACAACTGAAGTTCCCAATGCTAAGGAGAACTATCTAAAGAAAAATGGCTAATTTTTCCAAATTAGATGAAAACTTCACAGATCCAAAGAATCTCAACAAACCCCAAGCACATGAATTATGAAGAAAATCATTAATATATCAAAGCTCATCATAATTAAATTGCTTAACACCAGTGATAAAGAAAACATCTTGAAAGTGGCCAGGAATGAAGCCAATTCTGACATACAGAGGAACAAAGATGAAAAACAACAGTAAACTTCTCACTAGAAAGAAAGAAAACAGTGAAACAAAATCTTTAAAATATTGAAAGAAAACAGCAGTCAACCTAGAATTCTACATCCAGCAAAAAATAAAATACCTTCCAAAAATGAAAGTGAAATACACATTTTTAGGCATACAAAAGCTGAAAGAATTCAACCCCAAAAGACCTACACTATATGAAATGTGAAGGGAGAAGTCATTCAGACAGAAGGAAAATAATACCAGATGGAAATCTGAACCACACAAAGGAATGAAGAGAGCTGGAATTGGTAAATACATGAATAAAAATAAAACACTATTTTTCTTACTTTTTAAATGTCTTTAAAAGATAAATATCTAAAGCAAAAATACTGACAATATATTCTGGGGTTTATAGCATATGAAGTTGTAAAACACATGACAATAAAACAAAGGCTGGGATGAGAGAAATGAAAATATACCATTGTAAGACTTCTAGACTATAAAGTGGTACAATACTATTTACACAGGGAGACTGTTAAGCTGAAAATGTTTACTATGAATTCTAAAGCAATCACTTAAAAAAGGGGGCAGACAGGCAGAACAAATATAAAACAAAGAGCACAATGATAGATTTGAATCCAACCATATCAATAATCACGTGAAATGTAAATAGTTTCAATACCCCACTTAAAAAGCAGAGATCATCCAACTGGATTTAAAAACAAGACCCAACTATATGCTGCCTACATGAAATACATTCCAAAAATAATGACACAATAGGTTAAAAGTAAAAAAAAAAAAAAAAAGATATTATGCTAACACTAGTCAAAATAAAGTCTATAATTTAATATCAGACTATAAATTTTAGAGCAAAGAATATGATCACAGACAAAGAAGGTTACTTCATAATGGCAATGAGGCCAGTTCATCAACAGGACATAACAACCATAAATACATCTAAGAATATCTTCGAAAAACATTAAGTAAAAAATAACAGAAGTATTGGCCACAATTACTGTTGAGTATTTCAACACCCCTCTTAAAATAATTGATAGAACAACTAGATAAAAATCAGTAAAGATAAAGAAGATTTGAATAACAGTATCAGCCAACTTGATCTAATTGGCATTGTTACAATACACTATACAGAGGACTATATATATATATATATATATATATTTTTTTTTTTTTTTTTTTTTTTGAGATGAGGTCTTACTCTGTCACCTGAATAGATTGCAGAGGTGTGATCACGGCTCACTGCAGTCTCAACTTTCTCAGCTCAAGCAAGCCCCTCTTAGCCTCCTAAGTAGCTGAGACTACAGGCACACACCACCACATCCAGCTGATTTTTTTTTTTTTTTTTTTGTAGAGAAGAGGTTTGCCATGTTGCCCAGGCTTATCTCATACTCCTGAGCTCAAGCCATCCACCTACCTCAGCTTCCCAAAGTGCAGGGATTATAGGCAATAGCAGGTTATATATTCTTTTCATGTGTACAAGGATTGTTTAGCAAAATAGATCATATTCTGAGCCATAAAATAAGTCTCAACAAATTTAAAGTAATTCAAATTATAGGAAGGGTGTTCTGTAACCACAATGGAATTAAATTAGAAATCAGTAATAGAAAGATATCTGGAAAATCTCCAAATATTTGGAAACTAACACACTTCTAAGAATTAAAAATTCTTCCTGTTTTCAAGAAATGGTAAATTTCTTTTTCTGAGATTATGACTATTATATAAGTTACATGGTTTGTGCCTGAACTACAGCAAGCTCAGGGCTACACAAAAGTTTGATCACAATAATCAATCTGCTCTTAAATTACCCATTCATTCAACTCAGTGTGAGCATCTTCTGTGTGATTTGATGAAATCTAGAGATACAAAGTGAATAGACTACAGTTCTTGTTGTAAAGCCCAGTTGAATGGTCAGGTCTAGTGAACAGCATATTTGTAAATCCCAACTGTTTTCATTGGCTGACAGTCTCTACTTTAACAGCTATTTTGTAAATAGATCCTTTCTCTAAAATTGCTTTTAATCCTTTCCAGAAAAGGCTGTTGGCCCCTTGCCACACCCAACTCATGCACAAGAATTTTAAATATTAGTCTATATAAACATAATTCAAAATACATGAAATTATAAAAAAAATGTATAATGTACTTGGCAAGGCCAAATAATGATACATTTCTGGATGACTTATAACAGTGTTCCCCTATCCTGGAGTAAATAACCTAGCGGCGACTATCTAAATATATCATCAGCAACAATTTAAGACTTTTGACATAAAAGGACCAAAAAAATAACTCAATGGATGGGAAAATAGTGCTCAAGTTAATGGAAGTATTCTCTGATTGAAAAGGGAGCTCAGGAGGTACAGAAAAATTAATCCAATGCCAAGGTGGTACATCAGCGCTGCACTCACTGAGTGCCAACGTAAATGAGAGAGCTGCAGTCAGTGAGCTGAGTGCCTCTGTAAAATGTGGGGGCTATAACCAATGATTTCCAAGGTCACTTCCAGTTCTACAATTCTACGGACTTTAAATGGCTGAACTGTCAAAGAAAACATCTCAAAGGAAGCTCTGCTGTACCTCCTCACAAGCTATTTAACTGATTAAAACTGGACTTGATAATGTCACATAACACATTCTAGGTGCTATACTAGACGTGATATGGAAGAACAACTCTGGATTTCACTAGCAGTCAGAGGATCTAAGCCTTAGTTTTGGTTTCAACTTACTAAAAGGTATAAGCAATTGCAATGTAATTGCTCTGATTCTTAGTTTCCTAGATGAGAAAAAAGATGCAGAAATATACACTACACAACTGTTAGAGAAAGAGACCAATTTCTCACTGTAGACAGCTAAAAAGGCATCTTGGAGATGAACCATGAAAAGATAGATGGAAATCACAGGGAGGAGCAATGTTAGTAAGCTGTATAAAGGCTGCATGGTGTCACAGAGGAGATGGGCTTTGGAGGCAGATGGAGATTTCACATCTGGTCCTACCTCTTCCAACTCTGTGATCTTTGATAATTCAGCTTCCTGAGTTTCAGTTTCCTAATCTAAAATAGACAGGCTTACTATGTAATTTCAAGGATTAAATATAATAGGTATAAAACATCTAGCATAGCTGGGCGTGGTGGCTCATGCCTATAATCCCAGCACTTTGGGAGGCTGACACAGAAGGATCACTTAAGCCCAGAAGTGCGCAACCAGCCTGGAAAACATAGTGAGACCGTGTCCCTAGAAAAAACAAAGAAAATCAGCCAGGCACAGTGTTGCACACCTGTGGTCCAACTACTCAAGAGGCTGACATGGGAGGATCTCTTAAACCTGGGAGGTGGAGGCTGTAGTGAGCTGAGATCATGACACTGCACTGTAGCCTGGATGGCAGAGCAAGACCCTGTTTCCAAAAAAAAAATCTAGCATCATACTTGACATATAGTAGTAACTCAAAAAATAAAAGCTTTTATTACTAAAGGCCCAGAGACTGGAGACAAAGGGCACGACAGGAAGTAACCGACTGGCAAAGTAGAGGGCATGTTTATAAAGGCAGGTGGGACCCATATGTAGACGGCCTGAACAATTTGTGGGGAAGGTCAGGGGCAAGGCAGGCCTGACCAGTTTGTTAGCTAAGAGTCCAGAGTTGGAAACGGGGTTCTGTGGGGTTAGGACTTCAATAGCAAACAGTTCAATCAGAAGCACAATTAAAGACAGAGTCCATTAGTGAACTCGGAGATTTAAGATGATGGGAAGATCAAGTACCAGCAGTGGCAGAGATCAAATCCAAAGTGGTATGGCAGCGCTGGGATCCTGGAGTTTGGCAGAGATTAAGTATGAATTATGAACTGTAAGGGAACAAGTGAGGAGCATCCTAGGTCACTGCCTGGAACATCCTTGCGTTGTGTGCAGCCTGGCTCTATTGGCAGGTGTGGTGCTTGGGTATTTCAGTATGCCAAAGGAGTCAGAAGGAAAGCAGACATCTGAAGCTTCATGTTGCAGATGACTGAGGAAGGCAGTCAGCAAAGCAATGGTCAGATCTGTGATTTGACCTCTCAAATCTGTGGCAGAGTGAAAGGTGCATGGGAAAAGAAAAGACTGAAAGTTCGGTGAGGAAGTTATTTCAAAAGTTCAGGTAGGAGGTCATGTGAGCTCAATCCATGGCAATGGAAATGAGAAAGAAAGTAGCAAATGAATATATTTCAGGTAAAATTTCTAACAGGATATAGCAATTCACAGGATGTGGCATATTTATAGAAGGAAAAGGATTACTAGTAAGGTTTTGAGCTGCATGACAAGGAAGAAGGTAACGCCACTTAGCAGGTGACACAGAAGTTTTCTCCTCTTGCCGAGAAGAATCACAATACACAGAGCTTACAATTGACTATTTTAAGGCATACTTAAAAGATCTTCAGGTGTCTGAATGTCACCAGAGGGCCACAGCTTTCTCTATCTACCATCTAAACCTTAAACCATTTCATCTCCTCTTTGACAATATCTGTGACTCAAGCTAACAGGAAAGAGGTGAACATTAAGAATCTCATAAACTGTATCCAGTGCTTACCTTTACAGCTAGTATTTTGCCGCTCGGGACATGATATGCTCTATGGGAAGAAAAAAAAAACAAAATCACTTGGGATCACTAAACAATCTACAAAATGGTTAAGACATAAATGTAAATCCAAACATTTCTGCCGCAATGGGATACATGGTACTTTCAAAGAACACTAACAACATAGGTAATTTACATTTATATGGAGTTTAATGGTTTACAAAGTGATTTACTATACATTACCTTAAAATAACTCTCTGAGGTAATGCTGATATATTATTATCCTCCTTTAATAGATGAGAATTCTGAAGCACAGAGAAGTTAAACAGTTTCCCTAATGGCACAAAGTAACCACTGGCAGATTGAGACCTCAAACCTAGGTCTTCCGGCTCCAGAACACTTAGGACTATCACAGCGTGTGTGGGTTCTCTATAGCTCTATGTTAAGCGGTATACACAGCCATTTTGCTTTTTTTTTCTTTTTCAATTTTTTGGCTTATTTTTTTCAATTACACATGCAGATAAACTATATCCTAACAGTTCATCAACACAAGCTCAAAGTAACAGATATAACTATAACTTAAATAAATATAAATTTATTCATTTATGAAAAAGAATGAGAACAAGGTTTACAGAAATAAAATATCATTACTATCCATCAAGACCTTTTGTGTTTGCTTATCTTACTGAGTGACTGGCTGACTAAGACAGGGGCTCACTCTGATACCCAGGTTGGAATATAGTGGTATAATCACAGATCACTGCAGCTTCAAACTCCTCAGCTCAAGTGATCCTCTCACTTCACTCTCCTGAGTAGCTAGGACTATAGGCACATGCCACCATGCCCAGCTATTTTATAATTTTTTTTTTTTTTAGAGACAGGGTCTCTGGATGTTGCCCAGACTGGCCTGGAACTGCTGACCTCAAGTGGTGCTCCCACTTCAGACACTCTAAGTGCTAGGAGTACAGGAGTGAGTTTAAGTTTCATTTAAAACTTTTGCTTAAATGAAGGGTGGCCTTTACACATATACTGTAGGGACTAGATATTCTGAACATTATTTAGAAACAATATGACACATTTTTATATGATGAAAATTTCAAAATAAACCATATACATAAACAAACATTGTTATTGCAAGCCCATGAAAATATTAATATAAGGAAGCAAGTTCGTTTTGAAAAACTAAAAAATCTTGCCCTGTAGAGAATTTTATACACTAGCCAAGATCAGACGGATCTTCCTCTCATCTGGTTAGTGTTATAATGGGAATGGCATAGGGAAAATGGGGAACAGAAGTTAGTGCCTCAGGAATTCCTCATCTTCACCTACACAGTTGTAAAACATATTTGACAGGCCCCTGAATTTCCCCTTTCTTAAAACAAAACCAAAACCAAAATTTATATAATCCACTATTACCAACATGGAAACAACATTTTCAAAAAATTTGGTTGCTCTGACAAAATTTTTTTTAAAAGACATTTATTCAGCATAATGATCAGACTATTAAATTTGGCAATCAACAGCATGGGTGCAAAAAAAAAAAACTTTCCACAGAACAGAAACTAAAACAGCCTGTTATACAATTAGACAAATACAGTCCTCCAGCTTTTTGCCCATACACATAAGTATTTGTCTAAAACATGCCTGCTTTGTAGCAGCTAGGCCCTGCCACCACTGTGCTTGGCTGAGTTCACAAATCTGTTGTAACCTGTAGCTTCCCTGTCACTTCTCTGGCTCTCTTCTCCTGCTAAACTTTATTTCCTGGCAGTAATTAAAATCTTCTGCCACTGCCATAGCTACTGCTGCTACTGGAAGCACCATAGCCACCTTGGTTTTGTGGTTGGGCAAAGTGTTGGTCTCTACCACCATAGGGGCTTCTGCTTCCAAAGTTTCCTCCCTTCATGGGTCCGAAACTTGAAGTCTGATTATTGAAATTGCCAAAATCACTGTAGTTTCCACTACCTCCAAAATTGCTTCCATCATTGCCAAATCCATTATAGCCATCCCCACTGCTCACCATATCCACCACCACCACAGTTGCCTTCAAAGCCACCGAAGTTTCAGCCATGACCAAAGTTTTCATTCCCACTGAAACCACCTCCACAACCACTACCAAAGTTTCCAGAGCCACTCTGCCCTCTTTGGCTGGATGAAGCAATAGCCATTTCTTGCTTTGACAGGGCTTTCCTAGTTTCACAGCTGTGGCCATTCACAGTATAGTATTTCTGAATGACACTTATCCACGGAGTCATGGTCATCAAAGGTTATAAAGGCAAAGCCCCTTTTCTTGTCACTGCCTTGATCAGTCATAATTTCAATCACTTCAATTTTCCATACTGTTCAAAATAATTCTTAGGTGATATTCTTCGGTGTCTTCTTTTTTTTTTTTTTTTTTTAAAGATGGGGTTTCTCCATGATGACCAGGCTGGTCCTGAACTCCTGACCTCAGGTGATCCACCCACCTTGGCCTCCCAAAGTGCTAGGATTACAGGCGTGAGCCACTGTGCCTGGCTTCAGCGTCTTCTTTAATGCTGCCAACAAATAACTTTTTTACAGTTAAGTGGGCACCTGGTCTTTGAGAATCTCCTCTTGAGACAGCTGTCTTTGTTTCCACAACTCTTCCATGCACCTTGTGTGGCCTTGCACTCATGGCTGCATCCACCTCCTCCACTGTGGCATAGGTGACAAACCCAAAGCCCCTGGAGCGCTTGGATCTCTCCTGACCACACAGTCCGTTGGCGTTCCCCATTGCTCAAAATGGCTCCTCTGGCTCTCATCCGTTGTTTCAAAGCTCACTCCAATAAAGGGCTTCCTCAGCTGTTCTGGCTCTTAAGGAGAGTCTGTCTTAGACATGATGGCAGGGGGAAGAGAGACTTTAATGACGTTTCCTCCATGCCATCCACAGGCAGAAAGGACTGACAAAATTTAACAGCTTTATTGGGATATAATTTACATATGATAACATTCACTTGTTTTAAGAATAGATTCAATACTTTTTACTAAATTTACAGAGTTTAACAATCTCTGACAAGAGTTTTTTGAAGGTGACTGACTTATAGAAATGATTTAGTTATTAAGATCCTGTAGGTATTTGTAATATTGTTTACATATTAAATGCTACAAATTCAGGCAAGACTAAGAAACTACATATATACAGTATATGTATATAATTATCAAAATACATGGATGTTACAAGAACTTACTTATTTCGCTTTTCCTACTTGAGTGGAAAAAGGTCAAGCCGGTTACGGAGGGTAAGCTTAACTTTTATAATATCAATTAATTATACAGAAATTCAAGTATATCTCATTAAAGGAAAAGCAAGATTACAAAAATCAGGTGACAATTATTCACTTTACCAAAGAATTATTTAACCTTTGAAAATGTCTAAAGATGGTCTCTAAATAACACCTCACTGGTATTTCTAAATACTACTTATAAAACTTTAGTCAGGTTGGGCGTAGTGGCTCATGCCTGTAATCTCAGCACTTTGGGAAGCCAATGCAGGAGGATCACCTGAACCCAGGGGATTAAGACCAGCCTAGGCAACATAGGGAGACCCTGTCTCTACAAAAATAAAAACAAAAAATTAGCTGGCATCATGGACTGTGCCTGTAGTCCTCTATAGTCCCCCTGAAAAGACTACAGGGAGGCTGAGGCAGGAGGGAGGCTTGAGCCCAGGAGGTCAGGCTGCAGTGAGCTATGATCACGCCACTTTACTCCAGCCGGGGCGACAGAACAAGACTCTGTCTCAAAGAAATAGAAAATAACAAAACTTTAGTCAATTATGATTATTATTTTTCAGAGAGAGGATCTCATTCTGTCTTCCAGGCTGGAGTGCACTGCTGTAATCTTATTAGTTCACTGTGACCTTGAACTCCTGGGTTCAAGTGACCCTCCCACCTCAGCCTCCCAAATTGCTGGTAATGACAGAAATATACCACCATGCCCGGCTAATTTTCTTTTAAGTTTTTTAAGCGATGAAGTCTTGCTATGTTGCCCAAGTTGGCCTCAAACTCCAAGCCTCATGTGACCCTCCCACCCCAAGCACTGAGATTACAGGTATGAGCCACTGTGTCCAGCTAAATAATTTTTTATACTTTGTATGAAGTGATACACATTTTATAAGTGAAACCCTATCCCCTATGTTATGTTTTTTGTTTGTTTGTTTGTTTTAAGACAGAGTCTTGCTCTGTCACCCAGGCTAGAGTGTAGTGGAACGATTTCGGCTCACTGCAACCTCCATCTCCCATGTTCAAGCAATTCTCCTGCCTCAGCCTCCCAAGTAGCTGGGATTACAGGTGCCCACCACCATGTCTGGCTAATTTTTTGTATCTTTAGTAGAGACAGTGTTTCACCATGTTGGCCAGGCTGGTCTCAAACTTCTGACCTCAGGTGATCTACCAGCCTCAGTCTCCCAAAGTGTGGGGATTACAGGTGTGAGCCACAGGACCTGGGCTGAAATGTGACTTAAAGGAAATGATCAAGTTCATTCCATTTAAATATGGCCTGAAATGTGATTTAAAGGAAATTAGTAAGTTTATTCCATGTAAATACAGGTGATAGAATACATAAGATTTTGTGATATATTATTTTTCCCCTTCCACATCACAGATTCTTCCACTTCCAACTTTTAAAAATATTATATATTAGATTCACTAACAAAGAACTGAAATATAAAGACAAATAATTAAATGTATATACAAGGATTCAAAAGTTGTAAAAAGATCAGTGTTGGTACCTTGAATAAGCAACTTGTGGGCGTTTGAGACAAGCAGCAGCGATAAGAAAATGATTTGCAGATAGTCTAATATACGTACCATGCTGGACAGTTTGGCAACTTAATTAGCTTGTCAAGAAAGCCGATCTCTTTTCTAAAAGAAAGGTCTCCTATTTCGAACTGAATTAAAAGGGGAGGCTTGATAATTTAATTATGATGCACGCTAATTCATCCGTGGAAGTTTGGGTTCGATTTCGAGCAATAAAGATGCTATGTGGTTTGGTTTACAGTGCAATGACAGTACCAATTTAACATTTAATCATCAAGGAGAAGTGGATGACAAAGGCAATGCCAGCCATGAGTCGAGTGTGTCCCTTAACTTTGCAAATGGTATTTACTTAGAGAAAAGGAATTTGTTTACTTTCAATAGATACTGCATCTCAATTGTCTTGACCTCCCTCAACACATTAACTGTAAAGTGATTAATGAAGTTTGAATAGAGGCTCTGGTTACACCAAAAGACAAACTATACACCTCTGCAATGTTTTAATTAACAGCTAACACTTCAAATTAGTTTGTTGTTGCCACGGTAATTACCTGTTCCAATGAGTGCATGGAGGAAGTATTTTTATGAGATATTTTAACGCTTAGTTTCTGAGTGTTCCATTTGGTTTGTGACCAGCACAGGCCTTCTGGGAAAATCCCAGCCCTTAAAATTGAGCACACAACACATGCACTTTAGGATGGCAAAAGCTACTAGCCTGCTGTAAGTTTACTTACCATCCATACTTTCTTATTTCATTTGGAACAATAGTTTCTAGATGACCAAAGAAGTTGATCTTAATCTTTAATCTTGGTAGAGAATAGAATCAGATAATTTATTGAGCTGGTAGAAAATAGAGAAAATTATTTAATCCACTCCCCTTCTTTTATAGCAGAAGCACCCAAAAGCCAGGTTAAATAACTTATCCAAGCTCACACAGTCAGTGGCAAAGCCAAGACTGGAACCATGACACAGTGTGCGTATTTTAGGACCTAAAGGAACTAGATGGTGATGTTTAATTTTTTTACCTGTATTCCAGGGCAGGGAAACACATAATTCAAAACTTACAAAGGTACTGACCTATTTCAATCAGGCTAAAGACCATTAAATCCAAATTGCTCCAGGCAAGGAAGCATTCTGCAATCACTGCCAATCTATCCTGGGAGGCAGAAGGGCAAAGGGGGTCAGCTCTGAAGTCACTGACAGCTCGAATCTGCCGCTTCTTAACCATGTGAACCTGTCAGTAAACCTCACCAAGTCTCAGTTGTCTCTAGTCTGGAATAGAGAAAGCAGTCTCTACCTTACAGAGTTGTGAGGATCCAATAAGATAATATTATGGCTAGGACTCGTAAGCATGAATGAAATGTTAGGAAGGTAGGAAGTTTTCAGACTAGCTGAGTGATTTGAGAATGAAAGCTGCCAAAACAGAGCAGTAGTGTCTACGTGCCAGTTAGGCTATATGCTCTACAAATGAGCCTCAAATAAAGCTTTAACAACAAAGAAATGGCAGAAGTTTGCAATATATCATTTATTAAGAAAAACTAATGAGTAGTATTACTTCATGTTGAACCAACTTTGGAGACAGAATTAAAACAGCCATCTGAAATGCTATGGATATACCATGTTCCAAATTGTAGATTTCTTACCCTGTTTGTCTTGCCCACTACTATAGTTTATTCGCACTACAGATAGGTGTGGTAAGTATGCCACTCAGGTATTCATCTCAGCAGAAACATCACTAAACAATCATGAGAAGGCCATGTTTTCATTCTCCTTGGGTTAATAAATAGGAAAACATAAGCTACCCTAAAAATATCTATATACGTCCTTTTAATAAGCTTTTTTTTTTTTGAGACGGAGTTTCGCTCTTGTTACCCAGGCTGGAGTGCAATGGCACGATCTCGGCTCACCGCAACCTCCGCCTCCTGGGTTCAGGCAATTCTCCTGCCTCAGCCTCCCGAGTAGCTGGGATTACAGGCACGTGCCACCATGCCCAGCTAATTTTTTGTATCTTTAGTAGAGACGGGGTGTCACCTTTTCGACCAAGATGGTCTTGATCTCTTGACCTCAAGTGATCCACCTGCCTCCGCCTCCCAAAGTGCTGGGATTACAGGCGTGAGCCACCGCGCCCAGCCAATAAGCTTTCTTATAAATGCTACAAAGTTAAACTTCGATGGTACTTCTACTCTTCAAACATTATGTGCTCTATTACTGCCATTAGCACACTACAGAAAAGTATTTATGTGCCTGTCCCCATTAATGGCAGTGAGCACTGCCATGTATTAATCATCTTTGTATTCTTCATGCTTAGCACATGTCCTGGCCTATGGCAGGTGCTCCTTCATAAATGTTCCACAAATTACTACTTCTGGATGAAATATTTGACAAATTACTACTACACCTGGATAGTCCTTTACAAAAAAGAAAATCCACATCCATTTAATTCATTAACTTTATAATCTTATGAGTAGAAGTTATTATACTCATCCCCATTTCATAGGTAGATTTCTAACTGCTGAGTCAAAAGTCTGCAAAAATTTTATCACCTGGCCCCTGGTACCTCACTGATCTCTGCTTCTGCCTGTCTCCCTTATACACCATACTCAGTTCTGTTCTACCAAACATGCTCCTGCCTCAAGTCCTTTGCACCTACTCCTAAGGCCTGGGCCACTTTCTCTAATACATACCCGGCTTGCTCTCTTGCTTCCTTCAGGTCCTGTATGGTTTCTTTGGCTTTCCTACATAAAACAGCACATTCTCCCCTCACTTTTTCTTTTTTCTTAGATGGAGCCTCATTCTGTCGCCCAGGCTGGTATGCAGTGGTACAATATCAGCTCACGGCAACCTCCGCCTCCCGAGTTCAAGAGATTCTCCTGCCTCAGGCTCCTTAGTAGCTGGGACAACGGGGGTGTGCCACCACAGCTGGTTAAGACAACATTTCACCACGTTGTCCAGGATAGCCTGGAACTCCTGACCTCAGGTGATCCGCCTGCCTTGGCCTCCCAAAGTGCTGGGATTACTGGCATGAGCCAGCGTGCCTGGCCATTTTCTTTCTTCTTCACAGAATTAGCAACACCTGATAAATGTATTAATTACGTCTCCCACTACAACAAAGGAAGCTCCATGAAAACATAGACTTTTGGTATTTTTTGTTCACTGCTATTATCTCCATTGCCTAAAATGACATCAGGCACATTTTACAAAAAAATCATTAAATATTTGAATGACTAAATTTTTTTAATTGCTCTAGGTCTATTTTGGTTTTTATTTTTAAGACAATTTCATTAAGTTTTTCTAAGAAACTGCCCATTTTGTGTTTCAGATTTATTGTCATAAAGTTATTCACTGGATCCTCCTATTTTCTAAAATTGCTGCTGTGTCTAGAATTATGTTTCTTTTTTATTCCTAATTTTGTTACTGTCTTCTGTTATATTTGATAAGTTTTTCCAAGGAGCCAGCTTTTAGTTTTGTTGAATTATTTCTTGAATTTTCACTTAATAACTTTTGTCTTTAGTATTTCTTTCCTTCCACTTTCTTTGGGTTTACTTCCTGTCCCACCTCACTGATTTTCTTGAGTTAGATGCTAAGTGTATAAGACCCAGTTATTCTTTACTAAGGTATGTATATAAACCTATCCCTTAAGAATTACTTTGGTGCATCTCATGAGTTTTCATATTAATACATGGTATTTGTGGTTTGGTTGTAAATATTTGTATTTTCATAACATTTCTCTATAATACTTTTTGTCTTAAGGCCTATTTTGTCTTATGTTAGTATAACCACAATAGCTTTCTTTTGATTAGTTTTTGCCAGGTATCTTCCCCCACCCTTTCCTTTCAACTTTGCTGTGTGTGTCTTGGTATTGTAGAAATTTCTCCCAATATAGTCTAAAATAGCACACAGCTGTATTTTTTAAAATGCAATCTATTAGCTGCTAATATTACCCTACTTATATTTATTGTAATTACTGATATATTTGGATTTATTTCTAGCACCTAATTCATTTACTTTACACCTATTGCCTTCTCTCTTCCTCTATTGTACTGAATATTCTCCCTTTATCCATCTATTTGAAGTTATACATTCTATTCACTGTTTTAGTTACCCATCTTATTATTTTTTGTCATCAGTTACCATTAGTTTATTATAAAAGAGATATGGAAATTATTTACATGATGAAAGATTTCAGAACTTCAGTGGAATGGGCAGCTTCACATTGATGCCATATCAATAGTGACTTATTTCAGTCTACGTACTTTCCAAGAATGTCACCATTTCTAAATAGCAAATAATCCTTGTCATCTAGAACTACTTTGGTGCCTCCCTTTTCTGGGAGAAGAACTTCATCTCCAGCTTTCATGCTAACTGGTTGAATCTCTTCACCCTTCCCTTTAGAACCCGATCCAACAGCGACTACTGTTGCTTGCAATACTTTTCCTTGAGATTTTTCTGGAAGCACAATGCCTCCTTTGGTTACAGTTTCAGCAGCACTCCTTTCAACCAATACTCGGTCAAAGAGTGGGAGAAACTTTCTAAACGCCTGTCCTGCCATGACTCCCTCTGCCTCAGCCTCGTACTCTGCTCTGGCCTACCCGTATTATTTTTAACAATCACATCTGACATGACAAAATTAAAGTTAATTGCTATCTATATCCTTCTCCTAAACAATATAAAAATCTTAGCATGTTTTAACTTCAATCAAGCCCTTCTCATCTTAACATATTATTCTGTCCAGTCTTTTCGTTTCACTTCATTGTGAAATTAGTACTATCATTGTCTTATACCAGTCAGATTTACTTAAATGGTCACCACGCCTTCTTTCATTTTATTCCTCTCTGGATTCAACTGTATTCCATTCATTTATTTCTACTTACTTCCCTACCTTCTAGATTTCCTACCCTGTGATTTCATTTATTCATTGGCATCAACTACTCTATTGATTTATAAGTTCTTATTAAAAATTTTTGTTTCAACAGTTATTTAAATTCACAGGTATACACTTTATTAGTAGAGGTTTTTTGTTTTTGTTTTGGGACAGAGTCTCACTCTGTTACCCAGGCTAGAGTGCAGTGGCGCATTCTCGGCTCACTGCAACCTCCACCTCCCAGATTCAAGCGATTCTCCTGCCTCAGCCTCCTGAGTAGCTGGGATTACAGGTGCCCACCATCACATCTGGCTAATTTTCACATTTTTAATAGAGACAGGGTTTCACTGTGTTGGTCAGGCTGGTTTCAAACTCCTGACCCAGCCTCCCAAAGCATTGGGTTTTACAGGCGTGAGCCACTACACCCAACATATTAGTATTTTTTTTTTAAGTGACAGGGTCTTACTCCATCACCCAGGCTGGAGTAGAGTATCACAATAATAGGTCACTGCAGTCTCGAACTCTTGGGCTCAAGTTATCCTCCTGCTTCAGCCTCCTCAGTAGTTGGGTCTACAGGAGTGAACCACCATGCCTGGCTAATGTTTATTTTTATTTTTTGCAGAATGGGGTCTCACTATGTTGCCCAGGCTGGTCTTGAACTCCTGGCCTCAAGCAATCAACCTGCCTCAGCCTCCTGAGTAGCTGAGACTACAGGAGAGCACCACCATGACTGGCTAATTTTTTTTTTTTTTTTTTTTTGTAGAACAAGTGTCTCACTATGTTGCCCAGGCTGGTCTTGAACTCCTGGCCTCAAGCGATCCTCCTACCTTGGCCTCCCAAAGTGCTGGGATTACAGGCATGGTGTCCACCTTTTAAACTATATTGTAAACTCTAATAACCTAACTATGCTGTAAATTCTTAATGTAGGGTCTACATTATCTTCTACTTTACTCTAAGTTTCAAGGGCAGGGTCAAGGTCCATTTTATTCATTACTATATGCTCAACCTCTATCACAGATTACGATATACTCCTCTCTTAGATTAGATCCTAAATTTATATTCTTAATAAATACTTAATGCATGTCTCTGATTGCTAGGCAATAAGCTAGGCAGTGTGGATACAGCAGAGAACAAATGAGACCAAGTCCTGACCTTGTGAAGTTACCTTCTAATAGGGGCTGACTGACAATAATCAAATACATATACAATATGTCAGGTGGGGTAAGCACATTGAAAAAAATAAAGGTAAGGATATAGAGACTGATAAAGAGTAGGGACATGCTATTTGATATTAGGGTTGGGGAGAAAGTCGGGAAATGCCTCTCTCTTCAGGTTACATGTGAACAGTATGGAAGCACACCATTCGGACATCTAGGGGAATAGGATTCCAGGTAGAGGAAACAGCAGTTCAGAAGCCCAAGGTGGAAATGTATGTTTGACACATATGCAGAAGTGGAATCAGCAAGAGGGCTAGCTGAGGGAAATGAGTCAGAGAGGTAATGGGAAAACAGACTGTGTAACACCATTTAGGCCATGGCGAGGACTCTGACTTATTCCAAGCGATGTAAGAGGTCATGAACAGAAAGGGAGACCTAATATTTTTAAGAGATCACTTTCGCTGCTGAGTGGAGAGAACACATTGCAGGAAAGCAAGGACAGAAACTGGGAGGCTACTTGGGAGCTTTTGCAGTAAAATCCTAGCAAGCAGTAATAGTGGTTTTGAATAGGGTAGCAAGAAAAGAGTAATGAAAGGTGATCAGCTTCTTGAAATACTGAGGAAGAACACACAAAATTTGTGGATAAATGTATATATAATCTGAGAATAAAAGCAGCATAAAGAAAGACTACAAAGTTTTTGTCGTTAGCAACCCGTAGCATAGAGTTTCCAACTACTGAGGTGGGAAAAGGTGTAAATAAAGCAGGTTTCCAAAGAAATCAACAGTGCAGTTTTAGATATTTTGAAATGTCTAGAGGACATCCAACTGGTAATCAGATATGAGTCTGAAATTCAGGACACAAGCCAGGGCTGAAGACATACATTTGTACTTCCTCAGCATACAGATGACATGTAAAGCCAAGCTCACTTAGGAAGTGAGTTAAACAGAGAAGAGGTGTAAGGACTGGGACTGAGGCTCTCAAAATTCAGAGGTCAGAAAGATGAGAAGAAAACAGTAAAGAAGATGAGAACGTACAAACAGTAAGCTAACAACAGACACCAAAGAATGGGGTCTCCCCTGAGGCCATGACAGTTGATGCTGTCTGTATCTTCCCCACTGCCAAGTGAAGTACCTTGCACAAAGTGTTCAAAAACCATGTGGCTGATTTCAAAAGCAATACCTAGGGACAAATCTAACTGATTATATTATCTGCTCTTTGAAATTTTAAAGATGAATCTAGTATAATACATATAGGGTTAGAGGTGTGCTCGCCTTCATCTAAACTGTTGAGAATTTATTAAAAGATACATAATTACAAAGAATAATTTGAATTTCTATAATAATCTTTAAAGGTAAGGAAAATAGGCAGGGCACAGTGGCTCACATCTGTAATCCCAACACTTTGGGAGGCTGAGGTGGGAGGATTGCGTGAGTCCAAGAGTTCAAGACCAGCCTGGGCAAAATAAGTGATACCTCATCTCAACAAAAAATGAAAAAAAAATTAGCTGGGCATGGTGGCGCATGCCTGTGGTCCCAGCTACTTGGGAAGTGAGGTGAGAGGATCACTTGAACCTGGGAGGTAGAGGCTACGGTGAGCCATGATCATACCACTGCACTCCAGTCTAGGTGACAGAGTGAGACCCTGTATCAAAAAATAAAAAGGAAAGTAAATATGTAAAAATAACATGTTTAAAAAGTCCACACAGGACATAAGGGAGAAACAACCTGTGTTCACATTCCAACATCTGGACTCCTACACAAATTTATGCCATGCGTAAGATCAATTGCATCTGGATTTTACCATGTTTACTAAAATTATTTATGCCTAGAATTTCAAATTCTAGGAGAACCAAAAAAATAGGAATCATCCCAGCTGACTCCTGTTCACAAAATAAATAACCTAGAGGTGATCATATATTTTCTGATAAAGCTGGTACAATCTCATATAATTAAAGTACGCATCTATTTTTCTATGACACTATTCTGGGTATTAATTTCTAAACATATTCCAATCAAATTATTTTAAATTATGAGCAGAAAGAATTTATAACAGGGAGCATATGTGCTTTTCTAGTGATGGTGAGGCAGGATATAATTAAAGAAAGAATGGGAAGGCTGGCCTATAATCTGACTATAAACATTTCAGGTTTCAGCACAACTGACAATATCCTATGTCATAAATGTCAATTTATTAACAAAATAGTTATCAAGATGAGTATGAAAAGACCTCTTTTTTGCCTCTTGGAGAAAAGACCTGGAGCATAATTGCATGTATAATGACTTTTAATCACAATGGCAAAACCGGAAGCCTGAAATGACAGTATTACCACTGTTTTATGAAGGACACAGGGCACTTCCTTCATTAACTATGTGAACTAAATGCCACTGACTTAAATTCTACTTCTCACATAACATACTTCAAAGCAGGTTAGTGAAAAGAGGGACACAATTACTTTGTGAATTATTTATAGAGGGTTATCAGTTGTTGACAGGTTCTCCAAATGCATAGGAAACCTAAGAAAATAATCCAGTCACTAAAATAGTGAAAGCAATGGTTAGGATTTGGCTCAAGAAATAACCAGTAATTAAAAAGGGATGGTCTTATTCTAGGTAAGCAGGAAAGAAAGTCATTGTTATTTTGTTCCCTGGACAAGAAAAAAGGTGAGCAAAGTCTATTTTAAAATAAATAAAAGTTACCAATTTATTTGTTGTTGTTAGCTCACTGCAGAGACAGCTCCCTCTCTCAAATAGTAACATCAGTTCTTTTTTATGCAAAGATTGCATGGCTTGTGAGATAGCCTGCATTCCCTGAGTCTCTATTCTCTTGAATGCCCTAGGGATTTATAGGACGACCCTCAGAGAACAGGGCAGAGGTAAAGAGACAAAGGAAAAGAAAGCTCTCTGACATCTGATTCATTATAAAAAAGTTTGATCACAACAAGAGAAACCATTGTCTAAAATGCAACTCTTAATTCTCCTCATTGGCACAGAAAGTTACAAGTTGGTCACACTCAGGTTCAATTATTAAATCTACTACCTTATTAAAACATATGGCATTTGTTAAAGCTAATATACTGTAGGATCATCAGTTTCTATACTTACAGATGATGCTTCTTTGCTCTTTGTATGACATTTTACTTATTTACCAAAAAAGCCTCTGCTTTTAGGTAAATTTAGAATAACAAGATAGAAGTCTTTCTTCAATTCAGAAGTTTTCAATTTCAAAGACTTTATAGTGTTGGCAAAAGGAAAACTAAAACAAAAAGAAAGGAGATGGCAGAAATCAAGACGGTTAAACTATTAGGAGATACCTACAACATGAGACTGAGTCTCCTACTTAAAACAAGTAATCTGAGAGTTGATTGTACATTTTTCCAAAAGATTATAAGGCTGAACAACTCTGAACACAATACAAAACAAGCAAAACACTTCTCTGCCATATAAAAGTGCGTGAGTGTACAAATACTGATACAAACAAAACAAAAATCATTTAGTATCTTGTGAGATTAATTTTAAAACCCTCTAGCTGTCACCTTTTAATGCAATGATAGGGTTTCAGTAACCACATGTAAACCAGTTGTGGTTCAGCTAATGAAAAATATAATTTTTAAATTTTAAATTAAATAAATTTAAATTTTTAAATTGAAATTTAATCCTCTAATCACTTGGTCTTTTTAGAAATTGTTCACTTGGTAGGTTTATTTGAAGGTAGATTTTATTAACACGTTTAGGACTAATGGCCAAGCTTCGAAGTTTCAGTATGCTGTCACATAAATAGCCATCCACGGAAATACTTCAGATGGTTTCAGGGAAATCAACACTGACAGTTGTTGCCTTCCGTAATAAACGCATTAGCCAGGCTCTAGCTGTTAAAATAGAAACTCCAAAGTAAACAGCAGTTGTAAAAAGCAGCTTTTATGTAAACTGTACTAGTTCAGATAGCAGTCTTTGCCAACCTTCCTTCTGCCTAAAGACCCATTACAGATGCTTGACTACTGATTGCAAAATAACCTGTGGTTAAAAAGTCCGGGTGCGGTGGCTCACGCCTATAATCCCAGCACTTTGGGAGGCCGTGCTGGGCAGATCACTTGAGGTCAGGAGTTCAAGACTAGCCTGGCCAACATGGCAAAACCCCGACTCTACTAAAAATACAAAAAATTATGCAGGCATGCTAGTACATGCCTGTGATCCCAGTACTTTGGGAGGCCGAGCTGGGCAGATCACTTGAGGTCAGGAGTTCAAGACTAGCCTGGCCAACATGGCAAAACCCCGTCTCTACTAAAAATACAAAAAATTATGCAGGCGTGCTGGCACACACCTGTAATCCCAGCTACTCAGGAGGCTGAAGCAGGAGAATCACTTGAACCCGGCAGGCAGAGGTTGCAGAGAGCCAAGATCATGCCATTAGACTCCAGCCTGGGCAACAAGAGTGAAAACTCCATCTCAGGGGAAAAAAAGAAAGAAAACAAAAGAAACAGAGCCCCTGATACTGTTTGGGTCTCAAGTCAAATATGTTATTAGGTCACATATTAATTTCAAGATACTGACTGTACATAGGGCTCATAAATCAACTTGATCTATGATATGGGGAACTTGGCTAGGTTAGATTTTCAGTAAGAGAAAAGCTACTGTAACCCTACATCTGCTCATTTCTTCTTTCTGCTCACTCTGGCTACACACCCCTTTCTACTCCCACCCCGGCCTCAGAGTGAATGTGGTCATCACCACCTCCGTATTTCTTCCGTAAGTTGATGTGGCCTGGTTCAAGCCTTTAACACTCTCCACATCAACTAGAGTAATGTCTTTTAATATATGGTCTGAATACCTTTGAGATCAAACTGATCTCTTGATCAAGGATTCTGAAAGAATGTAGTGGGCAAACAGAGAAGCAAGAGATATAAAGCCTAAAGATGAGAATGAAGGAAAGAAAAGTAATAGTTAGGTAATATTTGTGGGGGGAAAAATAGAAATACCTTGAGGATTAACTAGCTAGGAAACTCTCTCCTGAAACAACTTGATACCATGTAATCTCTGCTTACAGTTTCTGGGAAAACTAAGAATAAATTACTTTCCAAAATCAGATAAACAGCTACTTGAAAAAACCCCCTTATTCTAATAAATATTCTATTGTGCTTTAGAGTTTATAAAATATTTTACATAAAGTTATTTGATTTGCACAAAAATTTGTGAGGTAGATATTATTAATATCCTCACTTTATTGATGAGGAAACTAAGGCTTGGTGAGGGTACTGACTGCTTCAAGATTCTTCTCTGTAAGTACTGGAGTGGGAAGTAGATTCTGGTCCTCCAAAGCCAAATCCAGTGCACGTCCCAACAAAGCTTTGTGCGAAAATAAACTGGTTGCTTCTAGATCCTGTAATTTCAGTTGTCTTCAACATTCTCCGGATATGGTCAGTGTTGCTTTTTTAAAAGCAATAGGGAAAATCGATCGAATGGCTCACTTTTCAGACCTGCATTAACTTTTTCAGGCCACTGGGGTACAATTTACTAAATTACCTCTTCTAGAACACTAAATAGTACCCTAGTGGGTCAAAGAGTAAATGCATCTCTGAAAAGTGAGCCATTCCTTCCCTTCCTCCCCATAATACCAGATGTAATATGTCCCCTATGACGAAAATATTAACCCATTTCCATTAAAAACTCAAGAAATTGTCCCACACTAGATAAAATGAGTATAGGGAAGCATCCCTAGGGAGCTAAGGAGGAGCAAAAATCTCTCCTCTAATCCTGCCCACAATACCGTTGACAAGTCAACATGGACTTATAAAAAAAATACTGGTTTTTCATTCAATAGAGATTTATTTTAATCAAGACCTTAAAACAGAATAAAAATATAAATTCAAAGCTGATGGTTTCCAGGGGACAGATGCAGAGGATATCATGATGGCTAGTTTCATCCTGCATTACAGTGTTTAAAAATAAGCTCAAGCATTCATCTTGCTTATGAAATAATAGATATATCCCAAATAGCTGGTCTTTCCCATATATCATTATACTATAGGTAATCTCTTCGACCAAATGAAACAAACATTCCTTGTCTGGCATGTAAGCATATTATTACTTCTAATCTCCATAAAAGCAAACTCTCTGATACATTTTTGAATTGTCTTAGGAATAACTATAGAGTGATTTAACATCTGCAAGCTACCTTAGCAAAGCCAATCTTTTAAGTTTTCAGCACTGTTAGTCCCTTACTCTTCTGGAAGATAGCTTTGCAATGAAAATAAGACAACTTTAATTTAAGAATCATCCAGCTTCTAATTAAACTGCCATAGGCAGCTGGTTGGATAAGTTTTAATCAGTTTCAATCACCTATTGATTGGTATACTGAAGCCTAAAAAATTAAAAGTAAAAGATGATTGGGGAATTGTCCCATCTCAGAACAACAGTAGAGGCCTCTGTAAATAACTCCTCTTTTAACCATCAGCTAAATGAACACTTCAATACTGCAGTACAAAGTCTTCTGCAAAATTACTTTAACTAACAAGCAGAAATTTATCAGCTTCAGCCAAAATCAATGCTGAAATCAATTTGAACACTGGTTGTGTCTAAAGGGGCTCATTGGCAATTTAGGGAAATTACACCATGTAAATGCCTGTGCTTTAATTGAACAGTTTCATCAACTAGGCTGTGATTGCTGTCCATTCATTTATTTACTTTCGCTGCAGCTACCATTCAACAAAGAAATGGCTTTTGTCAGGCTGGAGAGAGGCACTTTATCTTCATTTTGTGCACTTTTGTGCATAAAAGACTTCATGAAATGGGCATATCATGACTAGGGTCAAAAGAAACCAGGACAGACTTTTTCCTTTAACATAAAAACTGACCAACACAAACTACCATCATATCTTATACCATCGAGGGACCGTCATCTTTAAACCAATAATAAGGAGGCATCTGGGGGACTTCCCTGCACATGATACTGTGCCTCTACGTTGATGAGCTGTGTTCCCGATAACAAAAGGAAAGTATCTGGACTTTAAACCCAATTCTACCAATGTTCTTTTTGAGATATATTTGTTGAATTCCAAAAATATAGAAACTGTGTTAAAACATTCTCCCTCAAAAATTAAGTAACATTCTGTTTTTTAAAATCCTTTGAGGTCAGTCAAGGGAAGGTGCTATTCTCCAATCCATTTAGAAGATTAAAACTTAACAGTGTCACATATGCTTTTAAAATATGATAAATAGGAGGAGAAAGCAGAAAGTAGTCTACGTGAGAGGAGGGAAACTAACTTCCTTATAAAGACTAGCAAGCCCAAAACATTTAGATTCCACAAATGATTTAAACACACTCATAAACTAACTCACAAATTTACGGCAGTGAAAAAAAAGAAAACCAAAGATAAAATTTCCATGGAGTCATCTGTTGAGCTGAATGAGGTTCAGAGATCAGCATAAACATTTCTGACATTGGGCTAATCAGTTATTCAAAGATTACAAGTTCTAGGGAAGGAAGGAGGAAGGGCGACAGCCGTGTGTTCATATGAGTCTTCTATAAGATACGTGTGCCTGGTGCACAAAATAAAAATACAAAGTACAACTGAAGTATCTCTGCTTAGAGACTGCTGGCAGAAATTCTCAGGTTTGCATATATCCTGTTTATTTTAGCACCTCATAGAGCCAACCTGTAATTATTTACTAGGAATGGACCAAGAAATAAGAAAGCCTGGGTTTCAGTGTGGTCCTGTCTTTGACTTGCTCTGAATCCTCAGGGAAATCCATTCATTTATCGGTGTTTCAGTTTCTTCATAAATCAAATGAGGATGGCGATACCTACTGTGCTCAGCTACATTCTCACACAGCTGGGCCCATAATACGAGGCTTGTGATTGGGTCCCACTGTGACTCTCAGTGCCTCTTGCATCTTGCATGTATGGAGGCAGGCAGGGCCTTGAAACATTTCACTTGAGACTGCAAAAGAGCAGAGCAACTTCTCATTTGTCCCTTCAGTCAGTTACCCCAGCGGTTGTGCTTTGAAAATACTAAGGATCACCTCCAAAAGAAGTTAAAAGAGAAAAGAAATAAATGGTGTACACAAACTTAAC